GGGGGGGGGGGGGGGAGGGGGGGAGTGTACTCATGACAACGCATGCCGCAGTCGTCAGACCATATTGACCTCGCATCCCCATGTACAACGCCGGGACGGAAGGAGCGATATGCCTTCCGGGTTTGCGTTCGCCGGCCCAGGCTACCTACGTTTCACGAGGGTGAGAACCAGAAGCTGGTCATCGTTCCTCGCGGGCAGTGCCACTACAACACGCGTACCTCCTTGAGCTTGCGAAACGCCTGGTCGTTGGCCCGAATCGTCACCAGTTGCCCCGACGCGTTGACGAGTCCGCCCCCCTGCCTGTCCCCGTCGGAGAGCTTGATCATCGAGGTCGGGATGCCCACCACCCTCTTCAGCCGGGTGTTGTCGTACGACGAGTCGTCTGTTGCAATTGTTCGATTTCATCGCGGCGGCCGGCGAAACACATGCGACCGAGGGGACGAGGAGGAGGAGGGAGAGAGGGTGAGAAAGAGAGAGCGAGGGCGGGGAGGGCAGACAGAGGTAGACAGAAGGAAGGGTAGAGAGAAAGACACCTTAGAGTGTGTGTGAGAGAGAGAGAGAGAGAGAGAGTAGATAGATAGAGGGAGGGGGGAGGGGGACCAAGCGGTCGAAAAACCTACCGTACGTGTACATAACATATAGATGCATCTACCATTGTGCACGCTTTCACATTGCGATGACCGTCAAGTCGCGTTAACCAACACCGGTGCGGATTGCCTCTGAACCACCAAAAAAGCCGGGGATAGTCCGGCCCCCAGTGCGCATAGCGCTCCTATCGGGGCCAAACCTTGACAAGCTTCCACACATCGTGACGCTAGAAATCTTGTTATTTGATCGTGTGCATTCGTCGGTAGTAAACCGCCGCCTCCTCCCTCTTCAACTACGTGCTGATGGTAATGCTACATATCTTCTTGCCGTCCTCGTGATAGTGTTCATGCGTATATGCGTATGATACATACAGGCAGACGGTGGGGAGATTGATGTATATAAACGTCGTTGTCGTTGTCTCTACGGTAAAACCGTTCCGATCTGTCCGTACTGATCAAACGCTTGAAAAATAACCCTTTTATGAAAGGGACACCATGTGCTTGTCGTTGGGTTCGTGTTTCGTTTTGTGTTTTGTGTTTTGGGCCGTGTATTCTAAAAAAAACAGTTTTGGGGACGCAATCAACCATATTCGCGCTTTTCATGTGTCGCTCACTGTCACTGAGCGCTGATCTAAAGTAAAAGCCAAAAAAAAAAAAACTCACTGTTGGTGGGACAGTCCTGGATGAAGTGCCCCGGCTTGAAGCACCGCCGGCACACGTAGTTCGGGGGCAGCGGGCCCTGCGGCGCCCCCCCCCTATAGTGCAAGACAGAGGGACGTCGCAAGGTGAACCGATAGTGTGCAATTAGCCAACATCTCATGATG